CCCCATCTCCACTGCCAGCCTGGAAGCTCCGCAGGGTAGGAGCCGCGTGCAGCTGGGTGGAGATGGGACGAGACACACCAGGCCAGGGTTGGTGGATTTGGGCTGAATTTTGTTCTCTTGCTGACAGCTGTGCAAGCTTGGGCAAGCACAGAGAACTTTCTGGAAGCTTCGCGTACTCTGCTATGAAGTGGGCATGGAGCTGTGGTTGTTCTAGCATGTCTCCCTCCCCGCTTGCTATCTCTTCAGGCAACTTCCTTTGGCCTCAGTTTTCTCACCTGTACGGTGGGCACAACCCACCTCAGCAGTTGTGAGGACCAGGGGTCAAAGCCACCAGAGGCAGGACCTGCTGCCCTTGCAGCCTGAGTACCAACCTCTGCACTCCTCACCTGCATGTCGACACCCAGTCACTGAGCCTTCGGAAAATGGCCTCCAAGGGGGCACCAGGAGACTGAGGTTCCAGTCTGAGCCCAGCCCTGTGCCTAGAGCCCCCCTCCTTCCCCTGGCCTCGGAGGCATCGGGGGCGAGGTGGGCACTGACCCTGAGGTCTCTCTCCATCTCAGCGTCTGCGGTGAGCTGGCTCCACTAGGAGCGCAGGGCGGGGCGGGGCTTGAGGCGGTAGCCCAGACGGTAAAGAAGCGGGTGAATTTGGTTTGAGTTAGCTACAACTCAGCTGAAAAGCATGCCAAGTCTATTTCGAGGCTGTGCAGAGTTATTTCCCATCCACATTTATGGGAGATCATGATTCACTTAGTGCTTTTGTTGCTCATGCAAGGAAAAAAAAAGTGCAGCATGCTTTAAATGTTTCCCAAACTGTGTTAGTTATTAAGTGAGTGACTCCGGCCAGGAGGTGTAGACAAGGGAGGCAGGAGGGAGCCGGTGGTGGGCCGGAGCAGATGGGCGGAAACGAATAGCTGCTCTTCCTCCAAGTCTCCTTCATCACCCCCTCGGGGCTGCTCAGAGCTGTAGATTTTGCCCCAACATTCATTTGGCCCAGGAGGGAAACAGCGCAGAGACGCAGGGAGGGAAGAGCCTGCACGCACACGGGGATTAGGGGGGTTCGGGCAGACAGACCGGCAGGGGTTCCATCCCCAGTGGGCTGCCTGAGGGGCCAGCTCCTCCTGCCACCACGGTGCATGACATCAGCCCAGGAAGAACAGAAGGGGCGTTGTAAGGAAGCCCACCTAAGTAAACAGACTAGGCGTGGACTCCCCAGTGCCCAGGGTCTCTGACCTCTGACCCCCCCAGGACCCCACCAGCTGGAAGTTCCCTGCACAGGGAAGGGCGGGCCTTCCTGCCCAGCCTCCCAGGCTGCCTTGGGCACCGTGCCATGAAGTGAGCTGTGAGAATATTGTAGAATAGTTTATATACAGAAAAACCACATAACTCAAATGTTTACAAAGTGAACCCACATGCTCCTGTAATGATCACCAAGATCCAGATACTCCGGCACCTGGAATTCTCCTAGCCAGGACCTTCCCGAAGACACCCACCAGCAGCCAGCATCCGCCCCTCATCACCAGGGGTCAGGCTCACGATTTTACATATGTGAAATCATTCAGAATGTGCTTTTTTATGTCTGGCTTTTTTTCCCCCCCGACAACCTTATGTCTCGACATTATGAGATCCACCCGCATTGTGGGTATATCCTGTCCATTGTGTGAGGGTACCACATTTTGTTATCCATCGGCCACTGGGGAAAATTCGGGTTGTTTCCAGTTTAGGGCTATTGTGACTTGTGCTGCTGTGAATATTCTTGAACATATCTGTGGTGTACACAGGAATGCTCATTTCTGTGGGGACTATCCCCGGAAGTTGAATCACCGGGTCATTGGATGGGCATACGGCCAGCCCACTGACATGCTGCCAAACACATGTTCAGAGTATCTGTAGCCAGTTACACCTCCACCAGCCAGGTCTGAGCATTCCAGGGACTGTCTCTGAGCTAAAATTTGGTATCATCGGCTCTTATGATTTGTTTTGCTGTTTCATTTTTGTTTCAGTCATTCTGGTTTGTGTGGGAATGCACTGATGTCATTGACATTTCACTGTTGACGAAGGACATTGAGGACTTTCAAACATTGTTGGCCATTGAGATACCCTCTTCTGTGAAAGGTCTGCTCAAGTTTTTTCCCAATTATCTAATTTTCTTTTTCTGATTGATTTTAGAGGTATTTAAAAATATCTTCTGAGTAACAGCTCTTTGTTGGGGGGAACGTATTGCAAATATATTCTCTAACTGTGTGGCTTGCGTTGATTCTTCCTTTTTTCCCCAACATTTGATTATGAAAATGTTCAAACAAAAACAGCTTGAAAGAGTTCTACAGTGATCATCCATAGACCTACCTATAAAAAATAACATCAAATATACTTGCTGTACCATATTTCTATCCATCCATTGATCCATCAAAACATCTTATATCAAAATAAGTTGCAGACACTAGTACACATTGCCCCAAATACATTAACTTAAATATCATTAACTAGAGGTCAGTGTTTGTTTATGGTTAATTTTCTTTTCAGGTAAACTTCACATACACTTAAATGCACAGATCTTAAAGATATTATTCAATGAGTCCCAACAAATGTAAGCCTAAATCTGTCGAGGTATAGATAGTACCCGTGTGCCCCATCCCAGGTAACCTGTGCCCCTCACTGACATCCTCAGAGGGAGTACACAATGTATGATTCCATTTATAAAAAACAAAACAAAAAACTAACATCTGGTCAGAAAAATCAGAAATCTTATGGCTTTCATTGTTTTTCATGAGAATTCAATGGTCATTTAGATCATTAGTCACCTGGATTTTTGGTGCCATTTATCTTTGGTTGCTTTTGAGATTTTCCCCTTTATCTTTGTATTTAGAACTTTGACTATTTACCTAAGTGTAATTTTCATTGTATTTCTCTTGTTGGGGACCCAGTGAATTTCTTCAATCTGTACATCTATGTCTCTCACCAGATTGGGGTCATTTTCAGTTATTGTTTGTCCAAATAATTTTTTTGCCCATTTTTATTCTCTTCTCCTTCTGAGACTCCAATTATACATATTGTAGACCTTGTGATACTGTCTCCTAGGTCCTGAAGCTCTGTTCATTTTCATTTCAGTCTTTATCTCTCTGATTTCAGACTAAATAATTTCTATTGATCTGTGTTCAAGTTCACTGGCTTTTCTCTCTGTCCTCTGCATTCTGCTGTATAACTCACCTAGTGAATTTTTTATTTCAGACATTCTATTTTTTTTAGTTCTAAAATTTCCATTTGCTTCCTTTTCATAGTTTCTATTTTTCTGTTGAGGTTTTCTGTCTTTTCACTTACTACAAACATAATTTCCTTTATAGCCTTGATCACAGTGAAATAGCTACTTTTAAATCCTTGTCTATTGATTCTAACATCTGGTTCACATCACAGTTGGTCTCTGTTGATTGTCTTTCTCTTGATAAAGTGTCATGTTTTCTATTTCTTCATATTTCAGATAATTTTGGATTGCATCCTAGACATTGTAAGTGACATGTTTTAGAAACTCTACATTTCATTATATTTGTTCTTCCGCATTTTCGCATAAATTTTAGAATAAGCATATTGATTTCAAACAACCTGCTGGGATTTTGATTGAAAATGCATTTAATCCATAGACCCATTTAGGAAGAACTGGCATATTGACACATTTGAGTGACTCAATCCATGAAGGTGGTATATCTCTACCTTTATTTGGTTCTTATTTAATTTCTCTCAGCGATGTTACGCAGTTTTCTGTGTCAAGGTCTTATACATTCTTCGTGAGTTTATTCCTAGATATTTGATGCTTTGTGACGTCTCAAATGGTATTGATTTTTTAATTTTATTTTCCAATTGTTTATGGAGACATTGAAATAGCACTATTTTGGGATCTCTGAGTCAAAGCCTAGGCTGCGAAGTGTCAGCTGAGTAATCTCAAGCAGATCCCCAGACTTCCGTGTTCTCATCTGCAGAGTAGAAGCTATGTCTAGGTGCTGGATATTTGTTGAGTTTTTAACCATCAGCATCCAGTCTGCCTTCTCTTTTGGTTTATATCACTCTACTGTCGGGATCAGGCTGGTATTGACGCCACTCAATGCTCAGGGGCGGGCTTGCTTCTCAGCCCCTCCAATCAGAGTAACATATTCCCCTGGTCACCATGATGGGCATGTGACCCAGTCGGAGGCGGTGTCCAGGTATTCTGGGGCTTTCAGAAGGGAATCACACCCCCTTTTGAGGCTGAAACAGAACCAGAAGGGCTCAAGGCTGGCATTGTGGTAGCTATCTACCTACCTCCTGCTTCCTACCTCCAGTGGCCTCACCAGTTATGTGAACCAAACATTCCCTTTCTAGCTCTGGTTCATCTGGGCTGGCTCTTCTGCCACCTGTCACACCCCACCAGAGGTCCTGGCCATGAGCAATCAACCGTATGGGGTTATTGGAGGCCACAGGGCTGAGCGTGGTTGTACGTGTCCTCCACCATCCTTGGAACTCTTGACAAGTAAGAATCATAGTCGGGACAAGTGGGGGAAGGGAGGCAAGAGTCCTATTTAACTTACCACCACAGAGCGGGTGCCACCATGCAGACCTTCAGAAGGAGATAGGAGCCAGGTTGCTGTGTTCACATACCAGTTCCTCCATAGCCTGCCTCTACATTGTCACTACGGGCAGCGGACTGTACCTCACTTTTCCCAGTTTCTGTGTCGGGGTGGGGCTAATGCTGCCTATCTCGGCATTCCTGTGGAGATTAAAATGTTAGTGATAGCCCTGGCCGGTTTGGCTCAGCGGTTGGAGCGTCGGCCTGCGGTCCTGAGAGACCCGGGTTTGGTTCCCGTTGAGGGCACGTACCTCGGTTGCGGTTTGTCCCCGGCCCTGGTGGGGTTGTGGGGGTGGCGGCCACTTGATGTGTCCCTTTCATGTCGATGTTTCTCTCTCTCTCTCTCTCTCTCTCTCCCCCACTCTATCTGAACAAAATATCAAAAAAAAAAAAAAAAAATGTTAGTGATATACTTACCTGGCAGGGGAGACACATGATCACAAAAGCGGTTTTCCCAGGGCGAGGCTTATCCATTGTCCTCCACGGGTGCTGACCCCTGTGATTTCCCCCAATGCGGGAAACTCGACTGCATAATTTGCGGTCATGGAAGGCTGCGGTCACGCTCTCCCGTGGGGGGAATAATAGACTAATGATATAAATCACAACAGCCTGGCACGCGGTTGGCCCTCAAGACAACCGAATTGATTATCATCACCGCCACCTCACCCAGGGTATGAGTTCCTGTATGTAACAAACGACCGCCAACTTAGTGGCGTCAAACAACACGTTTATTATCTTACCGTTCTAGAGGTCAGAAGTCTCAGGAGCCTAAAATCATGGTGTTGGCAGAACCAATTCCTTCTGGGGGCTCTGGAAGTGAATCCACGTTCTTGCCTTTTCCAGCTTCTAGAGGCGGCCTGCGTTCCTCGGCTCGTGGCACCTTCTTCTGTCTTCAACCCCAGCGGGGTAGCTTTTTCAGATCTCCCGCTGGCTCTGACCGTCTTGCTTCCCTCTTATAGCGACCCTCATGGTAGCACTGGGCCCACCCAGATACTCCAGAGTCCTCTCCCCGTCTCCCCGTCTCAGCTTCACCACACCTGCACAGCCCCTTTGCCATGTAGGACAACGTATCCACAGGGCCCCAGGAGTCAGGTATAAATATCTGTGGGGATCATTATTCTGTGCACCGCAGGTGCTTTTCTCAAGGCGCCCCAAAGAGGAGAAGGGTTGGAACGGAGGGCTAAAGCTGAGGAGGGGTCTCATAAGATCTGCAAGTCGATATGAGAGCCACGGTGCCCCACGAGCTGCTCAGGTGATGGAATCACAGAGCGATGGAGGGAGGGGCCCGTCAGCTCTCCACCTGCTGGCTTCACCCCTGCTGTGTCCACACTGCCTCAAGGAAAGAGCTTGGCCAACTGGAGCGCAGTCGGAGGAGTATGAGCAGGACGGTGGATGTGTCTACACTCTGCCTTAGGAAAAGAAGAAGCTGAAGATGCTGAGGTCTGGAAGATTGTAACTAGAGGTTATAATGTGTTTGACCCTGGCCTTCTTTTTATTTACTTATTCATTCATTCATTCATTCATTCATTTATAAATCATTTTAATTGTACAAATAGCACAGAGAGTTCTGATATACCTTTCCCCAGCTTTCCCTAATATTAACATGGGACATAACCATGGGACAATTAACCTCGACACGCTACAATTCATCACCCACCAGCCCTTAGCAGAGCTTCACCAGTTGGCCCACTGATGTCCTTTCTCTGGTTGAGGACCCCAACCAGGGTTCCACATGCACTTTCTGGCTGAGTCCCTGAGTCTCTTTCAATCAGACCCGTTTCTGTTGCTTATGACCTAGACACCTTTGAGAAGAATTTGTGTTTGATATTTTTCGAGACGAGAACAGGCCGTGCCTTTGGCAGGAATTCCACAGAAGCGATGTTGCGTCCTTCTCTGGGCCAGGGAGCATAGGATGCCGCCGAACCCCTTTCCCAGCGGTGGTAACTTTGATCGCGGGGTTCACGGGTGCCGCGTGTCCGGGCTTGCAGACTACTCCTTTTCTCTTTGTAGTGAAGAAGTTTCTTATGGGTGATCCTTTGCAACAATGCAAATATTCTACTTCTCGTTGTACTGTGGCTTGCCAATCTTAACATCCACTGACGGTTCTTACTGCCAGCAGCTATGACGACAGTGTCGGGCAAATAATGATTCCCTGTGTGTCCTTCGTTCCCTCTACAACGGTCCTGGGATGTGCGTGAGAGGAGCTGTCTCTGCCCCCACTGTGTCCTGAAGCAAGTATTTATACCACTGTGGACTCGTGGCCATTCATTTCATCCTATTGGTTAGAATCACTTACTATTGTTATTCATTTTGTTGCTGAAGTTGTCCCAGCTAGTCTGGCCTTTTCGTACTTGAATTGGAAACACCAGACCAGCTGTTTGATGCTCAACGTGAAAACAAACTCTCTTTTCAAGGGGGTAGGAAGCTAAACAGCTTTGCAGACCACAGTGGTGCTGTCTCTGCAGCGGGAAAGTCCCCTGTCTGTGCCTGGAGCCCGGGCACCCCAGAAGTATTGCGTCTTAACAGTCTGAAAGGATACACAGCAGGGCCCATGCCTTAGCACCAACATTCAGTTCTCAAGGGGTGTTTGTGGGTAGGGGGATCTGGAGGCCCCATTTGGGGATCCCCTAACCTGTGGCAGCTGCTGTCATTTTTCTTTTTTCTAAGATCCTTTATTTATTTTTAGAGAGAAGGGAAGGAAGAGAGAGAAAACATTGATGTGAGAGTGGAATACTATCGGCTGCCTCCTGCACGCCCCCTACTGGGGACCGAGCCCACAACCTGGGCATGTGCCCTGACCAGGAATCGAACCGGCGACTTTTCAGTGCACAGGATGATGCCCAACCGACTAGCCGCACTGGCCAGGGCTGCTGTCATTTTTCAAAACGAAAAATGTGTCTTCGGTGTGAGGAAGTGGCGCACCACCCACCTGCCTGTGGAGCACCCTGCAGGACGTCCAAGCAGATCAAGTCTCTTCACCAGAACCTCCATCTGACTCCTATTTCCATCAGTGCACACGGACTTTTCCAGGAATGCAGCTGCTGAGTATATGTAGAGAAGGTGGTACTTCTGCTTTTTCTTAGAGGTTTACTGAGAGTTCCTCAGTCTCTTAGGACATCTTATTGGAAACACCATCCCAGACACGAAGCCCCCCTCGTCCTGGAGGCACATCTATCCCAGTCACTGTGATTCTACAAACAGGAGCAAACAGCTGGATCTCCATCATGGGTCCTGTTCATTGCACTGGAAAATGCCTTTGAAATTGTATGTGTATAACGTTCTTTACTTTTATTCTAAGATCGTGAAGATAGTTGTTGTTACATACAAGTTGGGGAGCCGTTGGGTGGGACAGGATAGGAGTCGTGGGCCTGGTCGAACTCCCGTTGCTCTTAGTTGGCAAGAGTTTTCCAGTCTCCCCCTCTCCATACAAGTCCCTGTTGGTTAGGGAGTCAGGGGCTGACTAAGATAAGATGACCTGTGATTGGTAGGCTCTGAAGGAGGGGACCCTCTGGACACCCCTGCTGCTAACAGAATGCCTCAGAGAACCAGGATGTGATAGAGAAGTAGAGACCCGGGAAAGAAGCAGTTTTCCCAAAGTCACCCAGCATGTTGGTGGCAGGTGCAGGTGAGAAGCCAGGGCTCGTGACCCCCCGTCGCTGCCCTTCCTCCAGATCCCCCTTAGCCCTGGGCTAAGCTTCAGAGGCTGAGTTCTGTGCTCCAGTGAGTGTTAGAAAACACTTATGCCCAGCCCCGCCCTCAGAGGTTCTGGTTTTAACTGGTCTGGGGCAGCCTGGGAATCTGGATTTTTCCAAGCCTCCCTGGAGAGTTACATCGGTTTCCTGTAGCTGCTATAACAAATTACCACACACTGGCTGGCTTAAAACAACAAAAATTTATTTTCTCCCCGTTGTGGAGGCCAGAGTCTGAAATCAAGGTGTCTCAGGGCCTCGCTCCCTCCAAAGTCTCAAGGAGAGGACCCTTCCTTGTCTCTCCCAGCTTCTGGTAGCTCCATATATCACTTCAGTCTCTGCTTCCATCTCCACGTGGCCTCCTCTCTGCATCTGTGTCTCAAATCTCTCTCTGCCCTTCTTTATAAGGACACCAGTCATTGGATTTAAGGCACACCTAGATAACCCAGAGTTATCTCAGCTGGAGATCCCTGACTTAATTATATCCTCAAAGACCTTTTTTCCAAATAAGGTTATATCTACAGGTTCTGGGTGGATGTATCTTGCGGGCGGGGGGGGGGAACAATTCAGTATTATCACTGTCATCATCATCATCACCACTACTATCATCATTATCACCACCATTACTACTATCATTGTCATCACCATCATCACCACCACCATCATCACCATCACCATCATCACTATCACCATCATCATCATTACCATCATTATCACCATCACCATCATCACCATCATCATCACCATCATCACCATCACCATCATCACCACCACCATCCTAAACATCACCATCACCACCACCACCACCATCACCACCATCATCATCACCATTATCACCATCACCACCATTATCATCACCATCATCACCATAATCACCATCACCATCATCATCATCATCATCACCACCATCCTAAACATCACCATCACCACCACCACCACCATCACCACCATCATCACCATCACCACCATCACCACCATCACCACCATCATCATCACCATCACCATCATCATCACCATCACCATCACTATCATCACCATCACCACCATCATCACCATCACCATTATCACCATCATCACCATAATTATCACCATCATCACCATCACCACCATCACCACCATCATCATCACCATCACCATCATCATCACCATCACCATCACTATCATCACCATCACCACCACCACCACCATCACCACCATCATCATCACCATCATCACCATCACCACCATCATCACCATCACCATTATCACCATCATCACCATAATTATCACCATCATCACCATCACCATCATCACCACCACCATCATCACCATCACCACCATCATCACTATCATCACCATCATCATCATTACCATCATTATCACCATCACCATCATCACCATCATTATCACCATCACCATCATCACCATCACTACCATTATCATCACCATTATCACCATCATCACCATCATCACCATCACCACCATCACCACTACCATCACCACCATTATTATCACCATCATCACCATCACCACCATCACCACCACCATCACCACCATTATCATCACCATTATCACCATCATCACCATCACCACTATCATCATCACCATTATCACCATCATCACCATCACCATCATTACCTTCATCAGCATTATTATTACCATCACCATCATCACCTTTATCATCATCACTGTCATCATCTTGTTTCACTTGAGGACAAGATCTATGTCTTCTCCTTCTTTGTGTGCCCTTGATGCCTACCATAGGGTCTAATTCACTGGGGAGGTGCTCAGTGAATGTCTGGGGAGTAAATTAAAGAAATTGGCATATCAAGTCCAACTACATACATGTTTCTTCATTTTAATAATAATAGCATCGCATATTGAGTTACATGTTGGGCCCTG